TACCTGTCGGTATAGCTAGATTTACCTCACATGGCTTTTTGCTAGCTCATCATGGTTCTAGAAGATTAGGATTGCTCTTCATACTCATAGCCCAAACACACTCTCACACAATCTCTCAAGGTATCACTCCAACTCACACACACATTGACACTCCAAGGTACTGAAAAGTCATCACTCTTTCATATAAGAAAAAAGTTACTACATATGAACTCTTTAAACTTGCTTGAGAGTTGCTATTTTACCTCTCTATTTATACTAGTTGAGAAGTTATCATATTAACATGTGGTAATTTCTCTTAACTCACTTTTACCTAGGTAAGTTTGACTAACCCACTATACGGGGCAACATGTCATTGGCCCAGCTAAACTTTCTAGAAGTTTCCGGAATCCAATATTGAGATGGTGACATGCCATTGGAAGCTTTTAAACTTCTACAAGCTTCTTAGCCACTAAGTCAACATTAGACTTAGTGTAGCCAATCATTTTTCATACATTTAGTCAAACCAATCAAATCCAAATTTCTAGTCAAATATCTAATCCCTTTGAATCTAGACCTTTGTAAAAGACAAAATAAAAGTGCTCACTCCTTTGTAAAAAACAAAATAAAAGCGCTCACTCCACTCTTTTAGACCTCCGCTAATTCTTCCGCCAACTATAGACATTATAGTTAAACTTAGTCATGACTAGATAAACTTCGTTATAACTAACTAGTTTAATCATAACTAGCTAGACTTAGCTATGCATTGACTAATCATCCTTAATCATTTGACCACTTTTAAGACTTAGTACATATGTGCAATATCCGATCTTACAGTACAAGTGGTTCGTGATTCAAATCCATGAAACATTCAAATGTATATGTTACAATCCCAATTCTCTCCATAACGAACTATTGGAAAAATCAGTGGCACTCTCGACTCCATCACTCTAATCATAAAATCTGCACCCCAACAAGCAACAAGGTACATCTGAAAATGATGTTTCTTCATGCAATGAAGATGAATATCGAATAGATTAGGAATAGGTCAGTGCGGTATTAGATTCCTGTCAAGCCCATCCATATCTGCAAAACCACAATTTCCCCATTTTCAACTCTCTCTCTACATGCAGATCAATAATCTCTCTTAGCCTCTATACACTCTCAAAGCTGCATTCCATCAACAGTCATTTGCTATTCCATGAGCGGTAATCCACACTCAAGGAAAAAGCAAGGTTGCTCTGATACCATTATAACACTAGGGTTTAGAGAGAAGTTCACTCGAACATGTAAACATAAACTCTAAAGATGAAAGATACCAACAATGATTATACTCTTCCTTATATAGCTCTCAACAACAAGTACAAGGAGATAAGATCTAATCTCCACCATCTAACCTCCTCGTGGATGAATGACGTGGCGGATAACCCTAACAAGCACACGGATCGCTGACGTGGCGCTACGAACTAACACACTCAATCCTTACCTAACAAGCACACGGATCGCTAACGTGACATTGTCAACTAACACACCCACTCTCTACCTACCAGGCTCACGGACCGCTGACGTGGCAGCCATGACTAATGCACGCTAAAGTATCTATATCAACATTTAGAGTAAACTCTACTTTACTTCTAATTAACAAAATATTGTTACACTTTTGAATTATTTTCAAAATAGCTTAAATGATTCAAATCTCTCATTTGTTGGGGAGTTGGCAAAACATTCATAGCATGTGTTTTACATGCAGTATTGAACTATTTTGGCATGAAATGTTTGCACTTGTAATCTTTCGCACATTGCGGAGGTAACAAATTTCTACATAATAATAATTCTCAAAAACTTGCACCCCTTGTATTGATCGAGAGTTGCAATAAAACTAGAGGGTGGGAAGTTCGACAAAGTTGCGGAAGCTTTTTTTGTCGAACCAAACCTGCAATTTTCCTCCAACTTCCACAAACGCAATTTGCAGCAACCAAACGCATCAACATCATTCAAAACAAAAAGTAATCCACATGCTAGACCTCCAATCTAAGAGCTTCAATGCATTCACTTTGTTGAATTCTTTTCCAAAGCTTGCACAAGACACATGCTTCACCAATTTTCAAAAAATCTCAACAACTATTGAAGATACTAGAACCTGATTGCAATAAATTTCCTTTCATGCTGACATGATATGGACCCGTTTCCAATTAGAATCTCAGAATCAAGGCTGCCTAGAGGCTGAAAAAAATCATGCTCGTTTCATTGACGGAGCCAAATGCTCTTGAAATCAGATTTTTCTCCTTGTATATTCAAGAATGGCACATATGTTTACTCTAGCACAAGAGAATTGGATATTAATCAACACAACAAATCTGAGAGACAAAGGTCTCATGTCGACAAGACCAATGTAAAATGTCTCAAAAAATCTTTGCACTCCATAGCAAAGCCTCTAGGAATATTGACAAATATACGATCTCATGTGGATGGTGCTTTGATACTCAAATTTTTATCCACATGGCTTTAAAGTTAACTGTCCGTGCTAGTGTGTGCATGCAAAGAATCTAAAACATCCAAGATTCAAACTGCTGCAACCACAATGCAACACGAGCATCAAATCCAATTGTGCGATCACCACTGCAAGCAAGTAATCCTTTGACGACAGCACTAGAGTAAGAGCAATCGCACCAAAAGATCCCTGCCAGCCGAGTTTGATACTTGAGACTCTAATACCAATTATATGTTCTTCTCAACTATTGAGGTTAACTCCGGTTAAGGAGTAACCTCATGTTATAGCTATTTATAGCTAAATGTGTCGCTAGCACCGGCTATATATATACCCCAAGACTTCTACTCGGGACACATTGTGTATTTAGTTGTCAATAAATCTTTTTGCTTGTTTCAGTCGTGGACGTAGCTTTTGAGTGTGAACCATGTTATATGATTATATCGTGTGATTTGTACTTGGCTTGAATAAGAACCCTTGGTTTTATATGTGAGATCAACAAAAATCACACCTCGATCTATTTGATCTACCTGCTTAAATTTCACATAAATCTACTCCCATGGTTAAGATAGAAGCTTCATTAAAGTGAGAATATTACATTCATAGCCAAAATCTCAACTATCTCTCTTTATCCATCAAGTGTATATGTGAGACTGAACTGGAATGTGCTCATCCTAGGGCTAAGTACCCCAAACCTTTACTATTATCATAGTGAACCCTGAATCCTAACTAGTGATCAAATTTAACTACAATTAGACTAACTATTGTTAACAAAAGGCGGGTTGACCTTACAAAACCAAGAATGTAGACAAAGTAAAACTAAAATATAGAAGGTTATAGCAATCTATTTCATCTCTATCATTGAATCAACTTCTGAATCTACATTTTTTTCATGAAAAACATCATCATTAATGTTACATTCAATAATAATTTGAATAGATTATGTTTATTTCTCGTTTGATTTTTAAAAATCACCAAAGTAATCATTTATAATTACAATCAATTTATAGATTTATTTACTACTCACCACGCTTGACATCACTTTAGTATTTAAGAAAAATATAGGAACATAGATGATATATCCATTAACTTACTCTAGATATATGAGTATATGCATTGTCTCCATACATAGTTAATCTACTATCAATGTGTATCACATATCAACTAACATTTAGATCTTCTTTAGCCATTGTCCGCAACTAGAGAGTCAAGGAGACAAATTTCTGTACTGTGAATCTGGCAATTTCATTACGTTGGCCATTACTAATGGTAAGGAAGAATTAATTTGGTTGGATGGATTTCACCTTATCCATCTGGCTGAATACGTCCAAGCGCTTATTAATAATCCAAGTGAATTTACTCTTGCTATCGAAGACGTGGTCTAACAATTCGTGTTACAGCTGAACACAGGGAAAGTACTACATCACAGACATCATTAACAACAACAGTAGAGTAGCTATCGCGTGTCATGCCATTTCTAAACTCTGGAATGTTAAAATATTGGAAATCTTACGAAGCTTAGAATCTTTTTGCCGCAAAATGTTCTGGTAAGCGACATGTGCATCATATCCGGCGCTTTTATAAGTATTCAAACCTTCGACCAATTTTTATTCAACATTTAAAAAACCCTATGCTTTGCATTAGCCACTGCTAAACATCATCAAGTTTCCCTTGGGTCCGATGAGTGTTCGAGAACACGCATCATATCAAATACCCGAGATAACCCTTTTCGAGATAATCGTGTACCTTTTAATTATAACATCTGATTTTTCTTGAGCTGTCGTTCAGGGTTGGAAATAATCAGCTTACCATATTGTGTGATGAGGAACAAATGTGAATCCAGAACTAGATCGCCTATGTTAGAATCCACATTCATTTGCGAGTGCGAACCTGAGTCTTTTCTTATGAGCAACCGTGAACCGATTCACCGACCCGCCTCGAAGAAGGTTAACAGTGTGACGAACACTGAACGAACACCATCGGAAGTCTTGTAATTAGAAAACACCTAACAGGTCTAAAATAAACCTCGAGTGCTCTGCAACTAGAAGCAATAATTGCACACTACGGGTATAGAACCACAACCAAATCCAGAAAACCAAGATATGTCAAACATCACTTACTTCTACATCCAATGCAGTCAAAACAGTCAATACGATATGCGGTCGACTTACACATACCAGTTTAACTACTATCTTTCATAAATTCAACAAGCCAATCGATATAACGTATGCACACCTGACACGAGAGATGAGTAAATTTGAATAGATAACATTAGCAAATATAATGACTGCTTGGACCAGCTGAATTCATTTGCTGCACGAGAGTTTGACACTGACAAACAGAGCAGCAAGGCTTTCATCGTTGTCATAGTTCTAGAAGACAACATGTTTTAAGACAACCCAAATCTCTTCAACGGATAACAGATTTCGGATCTTTGATAGATCTGCTTGTATATGCCTCACTGTAACTCATGTCGTTCAAAAATCGTTCAAAAATTTAAAAATTTCTTCGAAATGATCAGTTACTAGATCCCAATATAAGAAAAGATAGGCTTCGCATGCACATTGATATTGATAGGTGTAGAGAAACATATGAAATTTTTCACTTTGGTGGCTTTATAAGCTACCAATGTACAACAGAAAATTGCTGAACTAGCATATACTCCTACTAAGCTCAAGAGGGTGTTCGAATGATGGCCCTCAAAGGTCCATTCCATGGGTGATTGGTTGTAGACGCATACACATCACTCTTCTGTTTGGAAAAATTGGAATCATATAGAGGCTGGATAAAAAATTAACTACTAAACTGAAGCTCAGGAATGTAGATCTCACATTCCTTTCAGATATGAAGGCAAATGGCAAATACCGAGGATCCAATGAGGAAATGATAACTCGGAGTTTGCCAACGTCAAGAAGGAGAACTTTACATGTTATCCCAATCATACTCAGTCCCAGTCATCATATTCAGTCCCACCATCGCCAGTAGTCCGGGCAGTGCTATTTGAACCGTATCTCCCGCTTCCCCGTCGAGCGTATGTGTCAGGTTGAGCTGCATCTGGGCCACTTTGCCAGCGTTGATGTTGACCGTAGCTATGGCCACTACTCCACGAATCATATCGGTCACGAGGTTTTCGACCTACTCCTGCTCTTTCTGCACTTCGGTAGATTTCAGATAATCCAGTGGCCCCGCTGGCGCGCGTTCTCAGCTTCCGAATATCTTCATCTTGATCGTACCTTAAGCGCTAGATATTTAAAACATCCACACATATCATAGAATGTTAGTATCGCATTAACAAATCAAAACTCATGCAAAACCGATATGAATAAGATTTAAAATTTCCGCAACAAGAAGAAGCTGTCTCCAACGATTGTGTCATTGTGGGCATCCAAGCCCGTCAAATCACTTCCATCTAAGCTTACGAATCCCGGCAAGTTTTGATAATCCTGCTGAGAACAAGACCTGACCTAATATCTTTAGTGTTTACATTTCCTATCATGCCTTTCAATACAGTGAACCAAGCCAGTCGTTGTCTTTCTGCGGAATACAGTACTTACACTTCACTCCTAATGTAGACTAAAGCTCATGGAACAGTATAGATTAACAGACCCAAGTAGATTCAAGACCTACCCTAAACAGAACCCTGGAAAGAAAAGAAAGATTTCAAAGAGACTACTGATCGAGATAAACTAAAGGCGCATGACAGGCGAGTTAAAATACAGAACAACGTTGGACTTGAATTGCAACTCAATACTTTGAATACATCCACTTGCATAGCTCAAGATCAGAAGAGTAGTACCTTCTGGGGATCAGAAAGAATTGCATATGCTTCACCAATAAGCTTAAAGAGACGCTCGGCTTCGCGTCGAACTTCATCACCAACCTCTTTCCACAGACCACCATCATCTCCCCCCTCGCTTCGCGCCAAAAACTGCCCTGCCTGGAAGAGCAGCATAATTAACACAAGTGGGGATATCAAATTCTAGATACTCCAAAAGAAGAAGATTTACCTGTGGGATGATGCTACCTTCAAGAAATAAAAACGAATATGCTCTTTCTTGTTACTGGGTAATAACAACTCTATTAATTTTGGTCAGACGATGCACCTGAAGGAGTTGGAACTATATTTACCTTATCAGGGTGATGCCTCAAAGCAGCTTTCTTGTAGGCCTTCTTGATTTCGGCGCTCGAGCAGGCTGGCTCCAATCCTCTGCATAGGCGTATGAATGTGATCAGCTTCAAAATTGCAGTGTTTGCAAGATTTTACTCGATGGATTGACAACCCTATAGACCGAACAAAAGTAACGAAAAGTACAACTTCTCGACTTTTGCTGCTAGCTTGGGAAGGTGTGCAGCAAGGACTATGCGTACGTTTGGCATACAAATAGTCCTGGGGAGAGCCTGCAAGACCGATCGTTGCGATAACACCTTGATTGACACTCAACTAACTTCCACGAGCACAGAACAAGCTAAAATCAAATGAATACAAGGCTTCCACTTTCGAAATACAAGTTTGTTCATTTCGTTTACTGGACAAAAATATGCAGCGCCCATATTGCGGCAGGAGAGAATTCTCACAGTATCATATAGTGATCTAAGGGATGCCCTTTTTTCATTTCTTCCTCCGCCTTGGCTAGCCGCTCACGGGCTTGTCTCAGGTCCTGGGTGCTATTCGTTGACCTGCCGAGACGACCAGGACCAACTTGCGTTGTCCTGACCTGTTGCTGCTGACTTTCCAGAAGGGTTATCAATCGCTGCAAATCGTGGCAGCACTGCCCATAATCACGAACTTTTTCGTGCAAGGTGGCTCGTCTGGAAATGGCCTTTACATCGACAACACGTACAGTTCGTTCAGATTACTGAACAAGGTTAAGCGCCATCACACTTATGCACTTCAAAAGTAAGGCACCGACATTGATGTCTAATAGAAAACCATGAGCAGCCACAGAAAGATAGCTACGACGGTCTTCCTTCACACTACAACTTAATCTTGTAAGACGCGGTTTACGTAACTCCAATTTCCACAGCAATACAAAGCTGGCAACAGAAGACGGTCACATATCCTCACAACACTAGTACTTTTAGATCATGGAGAATCTCTACTATTTAACACACCTTGGCATACTTTGGGTCCAAGGCGATGGCACGGCTACAATCAGCAATGGCATCGCCGATATGACCCAATGCTTGGGAGGCTGCTGCCCGGTTACAAAGGCAGACTGCATTGAAAGGGCGTGAGTCTCCATTGCACGCCAGAGCGGCAGTGTAGTGTTCGACCGCTTCAGCATGTTTTCCGGCTTGGAATGCCTCGTTTCCAGCAGCCTGTCATGTCATGAAATGGAAAAGAGAAGATACATTATGAACTTCTGTCCTACAGTACGGTTTTACAAAGTTACTCTATTGGTTTCATTAAGACCGTTCTTTTACCAATATTTCACAAAGCATTCTCCAAATCAACATACTCAACTGTGGGGTATGCATACAAAGTTCCATTTAATGGATTAAGTTAACAAGGAAAGATTGGCAGTGGAGTGCCGAAGACAGAACCACGCATCTTTGAAACATCACGACAGTTTGTTTGACATACGCTCGTCGATAAAGTCAACCTAGAAATGCAACCTAGCCCTCAGTCGATTATTTGGCTTTATATTCCAAACCCGAATATAAATAACGTGACCGAACGGATAACCATGAAAGCCCAAGGACTTGCTATACTCTATACATCATGATTAAATACAGAAAGGATGTTCAAACGGAAAAGGTACCTTGTGGCGGAGGAGGTCCCTGATGCTTAATATGGAAAGAGACGTAGACTCGGCATTAAGTGAAGTGCTAATGCTGGTAGTTCTGCCAAACAAGTGAGCAACATCTTACTCTAGGGTCCAGAAGTGGTATAGCAGATTAGCAGAAGTCAGTGCAAGAGAGTGAATCTTACAACATCCAGATAATGATCCGGTGCAGTGTTTAGTCAACTGTGCTTGTAACAAATTCACATTATAGCAGATTCTGTTCCCTTCCAGCGATGGGCCAGTTAAAAAAAAATAGGACGGAGAGCATACACAAATCATAAACCACTCGTTACAAAGTAAAGACGCAAGAGCAGAAGGTGTTCACGTACTTATGAAATGAGGCAACCTCATCGAGCTTTTGCAGTAACTCGAGAGCCTCCTCAAGTCTCCCTAAATGAAACTTCGCTCTAGCATTGAGCTGCCACCTCCAAACCTTCAAGGCATAACCTCCAAGTTGAGTCTGACTGCCTTGAGGCTGTGGATATGTAGAAGACTCGACACTCACTGCCGCATGATTACGTTCTGCTGAAGCCAAACTTAGTTCGCACAGCTGGACAACTTCGTCGTACTTTCGGAGCTGCCAAGAAAGATTTAACTGTGTTATGAGAGTCACGGTTGACATAGTTGCTACTAGACAAAATGAAAATGGCCCGTCGATAGAGATTTCTTGAATGATCTCATCAGCGAGGTCCTTGCTTTTGCACATGTTGCAACTCATAAAAAAAACCCATTACCGAGCAAAATCCACCAACGAGAGCAACTGGCGCAGTCTTATCAGCAGCTCGGCTGACAGCCTTGTCACATCTGACGTGATTCTAATTTTGATTTATGCTGATTTAACAACTAAACATATGACCACAGGAATACTTCATTCCCAATAAACTTATTCGAGAATAAGTTTATTGAATTACGATGTATCTAACCACTAGTAATAAGAACTACACTGCAGCTAATCCTTGAGAAGTGAGCCATCCATGGACCTAAGGAAGATCGATAACCATGGGGCTACGGTCTATGAAATGATCGTGTTCCCTCATTTTGTTCAAATGAATCACATTCTAGACTTCGAGACTGATAGCATGAACTGCAAATGCTCAAAAATAAGCCGTTCATGCAATACGAAACAAACTCTTGAGTTCAGGGCTTGTGCGGAGAAGGATGATAACAACTAGTTGAAATTTATGGAACAAATCTTGTTAAAAGTTCCTGTTTCCCTTACTTTACAATGGATGTTGGCCGTTCATGAGCTACGAAACCAACCCTTGAATTCAGGCTTTGTAGGAGAAGGAAGATACCAACTAGAACAAAAATTTGCTAGACATCTTTTAAAATGTTACTTATTTTTCACTCTCGAGAACCTCAAGGGTGACATCCATAAGCTGCAGGTTGTGAAAATTAAACAAACGTAATAAAAAAGGCACACATCAGCATATGCTCCAGTAAAACTTCGACTGCCTCCCACATTGTAGCATGTAAATTTATCCTATTCAAACTCATCAACTTCGATAGATCTACTAAAAGCACTTGTCCACGGAACTAACCAGTAAAAGGACGCAAGCCTTCAATTCAAGGGCCCGTTCAGAATGAGGGCTACTTAGAAGTGCCTCGTTCAGTAAACGCAAAGCAGTTGGAACGTCACCAGAGTTCCAGTTTTCCAGTATCTCCAAAGCGCGATCTAAGTATTCTCTTACTTGCTGTGTCCAGGAAAAACCCAAATGAACAAGTGTCAGTAGCAACTCTTCCGGAATCATACAAACATAGTTTCACTACCACCACACCTTCAAAACTCCAAATGACGTTCAAACTGATATCGAATGGAGATAATATTACCAATGTTTTCCGCAGTCCTTCAGTAGATTCTTGTGAAACTTTAGTATCAGGCTGACTATCATCCTTAGCTCGACGAAGACACTCTTTGTAGGCTGCTTCTGCAGCATCTATTTCACCTAAAGCAAGATGACAACTGCAAGACAGGAATTTAAAATGCGTAACATCCTGTAGAAGCAAGTTACTCTTCAAATCTCGAAATCAAGTGACACAGTCCTATCGTCCTCATACATCACCTTAATTGAATGATGAAAGGTAGGTAGGCAGTACTTCCCACACACAAGTATTTAAAAGTAAGATTGGATGAAACATGTTAAACTGTGCGTAATCGATCGTATAGGTTGGCCAATTTCACACAAGGGTCCACAAGTCAGAGACGGTAAGGAAACAATATACACTTGTGAACAGCCAATACATGCATATGTAAGAGACAAAGAGAGCAAAGCAGACTTTAAAAGTAACGTATAGTGTAGTCCAGCAAGCTAGCTGGGAGTGGGGCAAGCGCCTTCCCGAACATCTCAACAGCAAGCACTTTGCTTTCATGTGCTCGCCTGCTACAACCGTTTGTATGAATGAGCGTAAATTTTTGGCCGATATCGAGGTAGGACAGCAATATGCAAGACATGAAAGAAAGTGTACATACTACTATCTGGTGTAGCCCAGTAAGAATCAGAGTGAAGGCAGGACTGAGGCTGCCTAAATTATGGCACTAGCTTATATATCTCCGGAAAGGTTGACATCAAAATATTACGGCTACATAAGACATGCAACCAAGAATTCAACCAATAGCACAGGAAATCAACACATGTCCTCACCTAGCTGCCCTCAATCGGACACGAAGAAAATTAGGATCAACGGCCATCGCTCGCATGCAATCAGCCAAAGCTTCCCGCATACGCCCAACCACCATGCGTGTAGCAGCGCGATTGCTATAGCACAGCATAGATGCTCTGATACAACTTTGTGACGTTTCATTAGGAGGTACGCTACTAGCACCTCGTGAATAATACTCCTCAGCTTTCGGAAAATCTCCATTTGCATACGCCTGATTTCCTCTGTTTAAGTACAAGAAAAAGGGGGGAAATATAGGTGCGGTAAGCTTTCACATGACATCGAGCCTCTAAATCAATTTCGGATGTATGTATGAAGTATGTGATCATTTAAGTAAAGATTTTAACCCCGAGTGTAATAAACAGAAAACATCCCATGCTCTGAATAGTCATGGACTAAAGTCACTGAAGACAATCAGCGTAATTGTCACACTTACCTAAGACGCCATTTCTCGCAGACTTGCTCGGTTGCTGCAGCTCCCGAAGATCTTGGGCTGAGGGGTCCGGCTACGTCTGTTCTGGGCAAAGGACCCATAGTTGATGATGCTTCTGTTGACCATGAGCTAGGTCTGGCAGTAAACGTAACAGATGGCCCCTTGTTACTAACCCCAGTCCCGCTAACAGTCCTTCCCAACATCCCCTTCTCTGAGTCGCCTATGTTGGTCTCTCTTGCAGATTCGAAACTGAAAACTGGACGTTGCGCATTGGATGTTAGACCTGTGGCCGTGGCATTTAAAACACTATTTTGCTTTGGAACATTTGCATCAGTTGTTCCCACATTCTCTCCTCGAGTCCTTGCATTTCTCCCAGCCTCTCCAGATCCTGCACCTGGTTTATCCCTACGATTTCTAGGGGCATGTCTCTTTAGCAAGGTGGTGGTTGAAGGAAAATTCTGAGCCCCGGCAGAAAATTTGTAGGGGCTGTAACCACTGCTGCTGGCACTGGAGTCGACACTGCGAGATGAACTACTGGCGGCGCTATCGCAATCGTTAGCGATGTCCACTTTCGGCTCAGCTGAATTGTTGTCTCTACCACTTAAGGGAGTTTGATTGTCATCAAATGGAGCACGCTTCCATTTCCCATTCTTGCCAGTCGCTTTATTAGGAGAGTTTTCTTTGCCAGGCGAGCAAAAATCTTCCTTCCCTAGTGTCAAGTTCATCGCTGCAGTCCTCAGGTTATCCATAGCCATGTCCGTCTCAGAAAACTGTGCCCACTCGTCATCCCCGTCTGCACCTTCCTTCTCCAAGGACTGACTTCGCTGGCTCCACGATTTATAAGGTTGCTCCAAGTCGTGGCCATTCTCAAATCCGTCGGGAGGAGTGAAACGCTGAGGTGAAAAGTCCATGGGGGATCCAGCATCGTCGGGAACCACGGAGGGTCCAGAAGCGCTGGCGAAATTCATGAAGGAGCCTCCCACATTCTTCTTGTCTTTCGATGCACTCGAGCTGCGGCTGGCCCGCCTGGGCGCCGCTATATGAGTTTTATTAACCTTTTTCCTTGTAGACGCACCCTTGCTACTACCACTACTTGCACGGAATTCGAAAGAGTTACTCGAATTGGAATGAGAAGGCTGTGAAGATTGTTGCGTCTCTGTAGGAACTGGACCTGCGGAAAATACTGGTTGAAACATGCCTTCTTTGACTTTCTTTTCCAGAGCTGCCGCGGCATCGCTTCCACTACTGCCTTGATGTCCAGGTACCGCTGGAGAAGTAGAGGATGTAGAGCCGGACCCGGCTGAAAACACAAAATGGGAAGGCGCGGTACTGTATGAAGAACTAGATGGATCGCCGTCGACAGAATCCGCACTTGCGGCATTTGCTCCACTTGCAACTGAGGTTTCCACAGTTGACTTATCGTTACCCATATAAGGAAATCGAGTACTATTAGGGCTGTCGACCTTGGAACTGGAGATAGATGCGCCCAAATTGAAGGAAGAGAAAGAAGACGTAACTGCGTCAGCCTCGGAAAGTGGAGTAAAGCTACCGTCAACAGTAGCTGAATTCTTATGCTTCAAGTCAAGAAGGTCCGAAACGGAGATACTTGCGCTTCGGCTGACACAGCCTCCTCCAGTACTCGAGCTAAGGCATGGAGACGGAGAATTGACCTTCGCCCCAAACTTAAAAGGTGTTGATGGAGACGGCACATCGGGAAGAGTACTAGGTTGATGAGACCATGATGCCCCGAACACAAAGGGTTCTGGCGGCACGCGTGAAAAAACATCAGAATAAGGCTTTTGGTTATCAATCCCAGGTTGCTTATGCAAGTTTGCTTGCTCTAAAGACTCAGTGGGCGGAGAAGACGTGAAGTTCAGATTACCTCCTGCTTCTCTCCCACCGGTGTGAATCGCCTGTCGAAACCCGGTACCCGATGCAGGTGGAACATCTGCATTCTCTTCGGCAGGCCGCACATTGCGAGAATTGAACAATCCAGGCATTTTAGGTCCTTTATCAGATGCGATCCCACCAGATCCTCCGTACAATTTCCTTGCAAAGCCTGAAATTAAATCTTCGACTGGCTGCAAATGCGCTTTGACATCAGCATGACCTGAAGCAAGCCCATGTTTCCCAGACATCTCCTTACTTTTCGAATTAGAGAACGTCACTCCCGCGAACGACGCATTCAGCGACTGAGTGGAGCTGCAACTTTCATCAAGAAGACCCTTTCCAGAAGCACCGACCTTACTGAAGGCAGAGGGAAGCAAAATATCACAGCCTCTCGCAGTTGCTTGATCAAATTCCTTTGATTTGAAGATCTTTTCAGCTACAAAAGGAGATTTCGTCCTAGTGCCTAATTCTTCAGGGGGACGATCAATCCACGACTTTTCAACAAAGACAGCATTTCGACCTGACCTAGAAGGAGAGGATCTTTCGGACCAGGACTGGTGCACACCTTCCATAAGAGAATCTTGGGATGCAGACATAGGAAGAGACGAAGAAGATGGAAGGTCTTGAGTTCTGGGATCTTCAATTGTGCTTTTCACATCCTGGACAGATGAGGGACCGAAACTAGGTGATGAGAAAGAACATTCTCCAGTCACGGATGGATAGCCATCCAAACCCATGGGTGAAGGTACATTGAATGGCCCATTACCTGCAGCTATACCCTTGCCCTTGGCCGCGAAACCACTTCTCTTCACCTTCACTCGAGGTCTCGTGGACACTGCAGGTGTTGTAACGACCGCCGGCTTGGGTGGAGCGGAACCACCTGCATTGCTCGTAGTTTGGGCCACGAATACGAAGACCCCGGCAGCATCAGTTCGTTCGCTCGAAGTCTCGGAAGAACAGTTCACCCCTAAAGCACTGAACTTCTCACTCACATCAGATCCAGTACCCCATGACGGAGAGACGTCTAGAGCACTGACATTGGAAGCAGTCGGCTGGGCAGACGAGACGTGTAATCTAGTTTCGTTCCGTTGCTCTTTAACCGACAGATTGGACATTGCCGGAATCACCTCCTCGATATCTTCCATCCGTTCGTCTTGTGCACTCAAATCAATAACTGGTCGAATAACAGGCGCATTCGCAACCCTGCTTGGCGCGTCGGGGGTAAAATTGACACCAGCGCCGAACGCCACAAAAGAACTAGCAGATGTCCCAGCAGAGGAAATCCCTGGCTGACCGAGTCCAGCAGCAGGCGCGGATGCAGGACCAGGATTAGGTTGAGGAGGAAACCCGAAGGCAAAAGGAGAAGAAGCTGGGGCAGGAGGATTGGAAGTACGAGGTACATAATTCCGAGCAACATGGCGCCTGGAGCCCTTGGTGGCCGCCCTCGTTTCTCCGGCTGCTACGTTCATCCCAACATCTTTCTCCGTTTCTTCCTCCTGCACACGCTGCTGCTGCTGCTGGACACTAGAGAAAGGAGACGAGGATGTAGAATAAGCGGAGTTCTCATCTCTCCAGAGCGGCGCAGCATTTGATGTGCCCCATATGATAGAAGAAGGGTTGCCATTGTAAAAAGGACCAGGCTGCTGTATTATTCCCTCTCGCAGTGCTGCCCCTTCGCTCTCTCTTGATTGTCCCCTCACCCCTACCAGCATGGACATGCTCCCTCCCACCACTCGCGACAAATTCCCCTCCTAAGAGAATGTATAATATTCACACAACACCCCTCCAGCGCCTCGATCTAACAAAACGGCACACAACATACACCACAACCATAAATACAGAACCAACCAACCAACAACACAACCAGCACCTCGTCTACTTCCTCACCCAATATATTCTCAATCAGTCCCTCCGCCGATTCTTCCGATCTCGCGCCCGAATCAAATCCTCAATTCCTCCTCTGACCATCGACTCCTCCGGCCTCCAAGAAATCCTCTCCACGCACAACCCAGACGGCAATCCTCGCCACCAAACCCTCCCTCCCCTCGATCAATCAATCCTGCGATCGCCGGAAAGAAACCACTCTCCACCTCCAATCCGTTCCCGGCCCGTCCGCAATCCCTAGACCGACGCTGCGTGCAAGCAACCATGCCCGCCAGCACGCAGCAGCAGACAGACGAGACGCTCCCTCGCCACGATGAGTAGTTCCGTCTCTGCCTCTGCCCGCCCGCCCCCTCCTCCTCCTCCTCCCTCCTCGTCGCAGGAAGAACACAAGCTCGCTCCTGCTCTCCTCTCCTCGCCTCTTCTCTTCTCTTCACTTCTCCCTGCCCCCTCCTCCTCCTCCTCTTCTCTTCCCTCCCTCCTCTTCCTTGCCTCGCCTTCCCCTTCCTCCTCCTCCTGCTCCTCCTCCTCCTCTAGCAGCTGCTCACGGCCTCCAACCCGAGCTGAGGGCACCCGCCACCCTGCCCTGCCCTCCCCCGCCCCGCCCCCGCCTCACTCGACACACTCACCCAAAACCAACTCTACGAACAGAAGCAGGAGAAAGGACTAGACGCTCCCCGGCTGCATCCTCCCTTCCCTTCCCTCCCTCCTTCCCCTCGGGAGGTCCACGACGGCCTTTCTGCATTCCTTCCGTGCCCTGTCTGCGACCGGCGGCACCGGCTGGGCCTGGCGTCGATTCTCGTTTTGCGCCATGGGAGCCAGCGACAGACGTGGATTACAGTCGGATTATCTCGGCCACTACCACTGGCTGGCTGGCTGGCTGGCGCGGATTAACCACGACCAACTCGACATAATTTACAATAACTGGCGAACTGATTTTGGTTATTTGAGGTTGTTTTCTTGCCAATCCGTGGACGATGAATTCGGCATGTGACCAATCAGATCTTTTGCAGTTGTCCGGGAAATTCTTCAGCCAAAACCGCTTTCAATTTGAACGCTGGCCGTTAATGCGTCTGGAAAAGAGGCTCTAACTTTAGCCCCACGCGTCGCGCGCTGATTCGCCTGCGCTTACGTGACCTCCAGATTACGAACTGTGCGCGTGGACGAACCCGCCATCTGGCCATGGCATCCCTGTCTGATCCCTTAGACTTGTGACTGAGGTTACAACTCGTTCGCAAAGTGGTGAGGTTTCAACCTTAACGGTCACAAACCGCGTTCTCAGAGAACGACTCGAATGGAGAAACTTTGAGCTTGAATCTGCTCGGACCGACTAATTTCCGCTTACTGTACAGGGGTGAATGAGCAGTCAACCACGTGGCCTTCTCACTTTCCACAACCAAGTTGTGCTGTAATGTACACCAAGTGCGAGTACATAGTTGATTATGTATTGAGGGCCATGGTCTACACATGACAATCCTCTTCATCTTTACCTTCCAAAAACTACATAATATCCACGTCATGTTTACGCCTTTTCCAGTTCAGTATGGTGTAGTTTTGGAACATTTATTAATGATAAATTTATTTTATTTCAAAAATCATCGAAAAAAATGAATTGAAATTTAAAGTATGCATAATTTTCTTTTTGGATTTAAAATTGAAATGAAATTTTTTAAATGGAAAATTGGTTTAGTTTAAAAATGTTTTGACATCACACAATAATAAATAAATCAAAGGTGTGAATTTTTCAGTAAAAATATATATCAATATATTTATTTTTAGTTTGATTATTAAGTTAATTTTAAAATATAAATTCAAAATTCAAAATTTTCAGATAAATAAAGAGATTTTTTTAAATATACTAATGATCATCTACTTTTCAAAACTAGACAAACCAGATTTCAAGCTAATAGCTTTCAAACATTAGTAAAAAAATTAACATTTAATCATTCTATTTTAAACAAACATTTGTATACTAACATAAATCAGGATAATAAATTATACATCACTTTAAAAAAATCTTTTTTTTAGAATAAATTCGTGATATCATCTTGAAAATAGTGTTCAAATTATATATCTACATCCAAAGGTGCTAGCTACAATAACATATTTTATATATATATATATATATATATATATTGGATTAAACATCTTTAAACATTAAACCTGAATTGAAAACACCAAATAGTATTTTTATTTGATTTCACTTAGATATCATGATATTCATTGATTTTATTTTATTGTTCATCATCTTAATTGTATTCAATTTTTGATTATCAAAATATGTGATGTTTGTTGAGGTTAACTCTAGTTAAGGACTAACCTCGGGTACTAGCTAAATATAGCTAGGATGGTCGTCTACACTTGGGTTAAATACTCAGCTTCTGCCTATACATGAAGTAAGTCTTGTGTAGGAAAACTAAAGTCAAGTGCAACATGTTCTCGGTGGATGTATCTACTTCGAAGGGGTGAACCACGTTAGATCTTGTCTCAAGTGTTTACTATCACTTGCATGTTTTGACGTTACAGTTCGTATCAAAGCAAGGTTTTCGGTTTGGATCTGTATTCAACATCTTGTTTTAGTTGGTGTATTCTGACAGTTTTTTAGTGACAAAATTTATTGACTGTTTTTGAGACAAGATATCTTGACGGTTTTCTAGGACGAGATTTCTTAACGGTTGTCTAACAATTGACGATTCACGTTTAGAATTTCATTTAATGAATCACGCCTGCTTCAAAGCACTATTATTCTTGAATGCAGGTTCAGTGATTCATGCCATGTTGGATTGCTAAATTGACACGGCTGGAAGGTTTCGAGTTTGTCACAATGGTTTCATTTTACGTTTACATCAGATTTTACTGACGGTTTTCTGAAGGGAGTAGTGATAGAATTTTGGACTTGTTAACCTTGAGATCTTGGCATATACAATACTGGATCTCCAAGATTTTCAGCACCCTGGGAGAGATTCAAGATTCAATCACTATCCAGCCATTGGAAAGTCATCAAACTTCGAGAAAAATTTGTTTCATCATTTCTTGATGATTCATATATTAGAAGTGTTCTTTATTTGCTACTGTCGTGTAGCTCTAATACCTTGAAGAAATCTGAGAAGAGACAATTGACGCGTAAATTATAACACCTAATTTTGCTGAACAGTTGCTTTTTCTTCTAAGAATTTTTTTAAAATTTTAATTTGTGTAACTCGTGGAATTTTTTTTGTTCATTGTTAGCTCCAAGATTACTAACCTCTCTTAGATTCTGGGCTTGTTTTTCATTGTTTTCACGGAGATTGAGATTATGCAAGCCGCTATTCATCGACAACGAATATTTCAAAAGAAGTAAAGACGTGCACAAGCTTGACCACATGATTAACAAGGGTTTTGATGCAGTGGACAACTACATCCTGAGTAGATTCATGTTTTTGAGAACTTAGTCTAAGCCGCTACAGCCTCCTTTGAAGACCTTCAATCGTTGATGGATGGTCGTCTAATAGCGCGGAGGCGCGGCTAGGCGATCCAGAGCGATGCAATTCAAAAGCATGATGATGCAATTGGGCAAAATAAGCACGACACAACAAACCAGCAGCAGTAGAAATTCGTGTGCCTGAGGAAGCAAAACTTCTCCTTGGCGTCTATGTTAAATTCAATGGCAGTGGATGCTTGGGCGAGACGATCCAGCCATGATCTCCGTGCCCAGCAAGTACAAATTCGTCCTATGGTGAGGCTTGCTGTCTCAATTCCTCTATACTCCTCCAACATGACCGCGTACAACGGTGTGAGTGGGCAAATCAACATTTAGCTTGATACCTTCATCGCGCAAAAAATGAAGAGCGCCAAGGACATTCAAAAGGAACAAGCCATTTTGATTCCTGCCATGAACATTGTCAAATTGATGGAGTTGGACCACTTCATGGAGAGAAGGTGGTTAGGGTATGTGAGGGCCGCATTCAAATACGGCGTGTAGAAGAAAAGCTAAGAAGTAGAGTGGATGGTTGAAGACTTCTCAAATTGTTGTATGTTATAGAGGAATTCAAATAGAATGAATGCACTGCAGACTAAATTTCTGTCCAGTCCTTGGAGATCGCTCTAGCATCGTATGAGAAAGAAGCAATTCAGCGGATTTGCGGCTTAGGTTTCTTGAATGGGGATGACACTTTGCTGATTGATCGTTATGATCAATCAGCAAAGTTTTAGGTACAGTTACAAATAGAGTTGCGTATTACTGCGCGGAGACAACGTTGTGATTAGAGGGGTCCAAGTGTGGACTGAGAGGCGAGGGCGTATAGCCTCCACTTCCGCCCGGCGAGACGTACAGCCGCACATCACGTACAGGATGCGTGAGTGGGTCAGGCCTAATGGCGGTCTGGATGGAGCAGTCAAGCGGCAGGGTGAATGATAGGTTGAGGGCATGGCAACGATGACATCATGCAAGAGGAGGCAAAAAATGCAAGTTCCTCCCAAACCCCCTTTTTCCACTCTCGCGGATGCATGACGAGTTTCCATCGTGGTGGCCGGAGCAGCCCATGATTGTGGTGGGCAAAACAAACCACGTCATTCGAATCAACCGCGATCTGAGGAAAAATCACGTCGGCTGGACCAACTACGCGACGCTTGGGCAAGACGGCCGCGGTGCCGGTGTTCCTATCTTTAGTTAGTTAGAATGTAGAGGTTTAGGTAGAGGATACTCAAAATGTTGATATTGATACTTTAGCGTGCACTAGTCACAACTGTCACGTCAGCGATCCGCGCGTTTAGTAGGTAGAGAGTATGTGTGTCAGTTGGGAGCGCCACGTCAGCAATCAGTTACTTGTTAGGGTTATCCGCCACGCCATCCATCCACTAGAAGTGGGATGGATGGTGTGAATAATATCTTATTTCCTTGTACTTGTTGGTGAGAGCTATATAAGAAAGATGAGAACCATTGTTGGTATCTCTCATCTTCAGAGTTTATGTTTCCATCTTCTAGTGAACTTCAATCTAAATCCTAATATTACAACCGGCGAAGGTGCAGACGAGCCAAAAAACGTCATAAGTCTAGGTCTCAATGATGAACAGCATCGCGCTGCTAGTGGGGGAGCGTTGGCGGCTGCACATACATGGTGCTGAAGAGCCTAACAATCCTTATGGCAGACAGCAGCACCTTGACGGTGCCGCGATTTGCTTACGGCTTGGGGTACAACAAATAGGGCATGCTAAACATGACATTTCAAACGACGAGTGGACGGATCCCGACTGCGCGACTGTGCTCATTGATATAGAGAGTGGTTATCGGAGCGGCCAAGTGCTAGGCCAGCATCCACCCTTAAATAACAAGGCCCAAGGGGCCGTGGCCCGAGAGACGAATGACGAGAATAGAACAGAGGAATATTTTCCTCTCTCGAGCGTCGCGTGGAGAGAAGTGGGGTATTGCACAAGCTCGAATGGCACACATCTTGTTCTTGATTCCTAACTTGCCGTCGAACAGCAGGCTTCGAGCAAGCCGAGAGCCGATTGACAGGCGCAAATGCTTGCTGCGTGGCGAGGTCTAATCAAGAGTTGAATGGTAGAGCCGAGTGGCGAGGCAGGTTGGAGGTTCACCCCAACCGCGATAGATCGGATAGAACGCAA